GCTGGTTTGCTTTTGAATAATTCATGGCTGAGACTTCTGGAAATTAATATAATGAATGATAACAAGGAGCTAATTAAAAACTTTCCTAATTGTTTCCAAGTCAGCTTGACGGGGCACAGGCAGCCCTCCCTCCTCGCCTCCCAGAAATCTGGTGGACCTGCAGGGCCGGGCTCTGGCGGGGAAGGGTCTGGGAAACTCAGACTCCGGGAGCTATTGCGGGTGCAGCCTCGGGGGGGCTGCTGCTTTCCCTCCAGCCGCCGCCGTCCGTAGATCGCCCCTCTCCCCAGCGCGACTTCGGACTCTGGGGCGGTTGGGTTGGCGGGTGCCTTTTCAAACCACCGGCAGAGCTGATTGGGTCAGAATTTGCAGCCAGAAGGGGGACCCGCCCTCCCTCAACCCGTGCAGGGTGCTTTCTCTGCAGTGGGAACACCCACCCATTCGGGGCCGTCCACGCAGGGAATCCCAGATCCCAAGAGCTCGAGCCTTGGCCGAGCGACAGCGGGGTGCTCGGTGTGCGCCCCTCCGCGGTCGCCCCGAGATTCGCGTTGCGCGTTAGGTGCGCCGAGTCCGTCGGAGAGGTGAGCGGGGTTCGGCTGCCGCTAACGAGGCGCTCCCGGAGGTCCTCGCCCTTCCTGCAAGCGCCTCGGAGTCCGTCCTGAAAGGGAAGGGACCAGAGTCGCACAGAGGTTAAAAACACCCCCCTCCCCACAGTTTGCCTAAGCAAACAGACGCCCCCAAACACCACAAAACTTTCAAAACTGGTTGACATTTTTTTTTTTTCAAGAAGAATTGGGAGCAATAATATCTTGGCTTTTGTTTGGTTGTTAAGGTGCACACCACCAAAGCCCTGTTACGGATTTGAATTTATTAGGCAAGGATTTTGACTCGGGACAGGAGGAGGGCTGACCACAGGGCTTTCCTCCCGAAGAAGTCCATAGAATGCTGGGTCGCAAAACCGAGACTGAAAATGTGGGTCGGAGAGAAGCTAGAAAAGCAGAGGTAGTGAGACCAGCCTCCTGCTCCTGCAAACCCAAGGGTGGGTGAAAAGCGCCCGCCTCCATTCCCTGCCCCAAACCCGAAGGCACCGGAGGTTGCAAAGAAAGGGGCTAGGAAGAGGAGAAGGGAAGCTGAAAGAGTGCCTGGAAAGAGAAGCGGGGGGAAGAAGAGGGGGAGGGGGAGGAAGAGAAACAGATTCCTTGCATTGATTAGGCAAAACGAATTGCAAACAAAAGTTTGATAAGCGACTCCTGACTTCAAGGCAGCATAACGTAAACAAACTTTTGTGGGCACGGATTTGAATTAAAGAAAGTGTTGACAGTTTCTAGCCGTGGAAATTCACTTACACCAGTCTCTACCCCCGCCACCCCCCTCCCCCAGTGTTGACAATAAACATTTAATGAAGGCAGGGACCTGGACGTCTCCAGTCAGTGTCAGAATACTTGTTCCACTTCAAACACGGCGCGCGCGCTAACGCCAACATTATATAAAAAAATACAAAGTGTGAGACAAATAATAGGGTTATACAGCTATCTTAAGTGGTCCGCAGCAGTTCTCCTACCCCCTGTTCTTAATAACAGAAACAAACTCATTGTAGATTATTCGCGCTTAAAAATGTTAAATACAGTTAATGCAATATTAATCGCCCTTTGGTGATATAAAATGCAATATTTTCAGGCAGCTATGGAGCTTTTCTAGAGGAAGAGCTGATGAAAAGAGTCACAGCTGAATGGTGGAGAGGAAAAGCCCGGTATTTATTGCTTTTGTTTGGCTTTTGGCTACAGAGACAGGAACCTTCTAATGGGGTAAGGACATTTATTTTATCTGCAATCTATTGCTGTGAGAGCTGGGGCGGCAGATGGGGCTGGTGCGATATTCACAGTGTAATTTAGAGCAAATCCTAATAACTAATAATGATTTATGTTAATTTTGATCACTTATGCGACTTTCCCAGAGCGTTCTGACGGAAAGGGAAAGAAAGAGAAGCAGAATGTGACAAGGAGCTCCGAGGCTGCGCTTGGAGCTCAAGGAGCCTACTTAAAAAGCGTTGTAGGAGTTAGCCATGGCAATGCGGGCATTTTTAAAAAGCAGGTAGGATCCATTTGCTGCTAGCAGAGGTATCTCCCGGGTCTTCCATTACTTCTGAAAATATACCTACATGAGAGGAACCTGGACGCCTTTGAGCGGGAGACTCATCCCAATTTTAAAGAAAACAGTTATGTTTCAATAGTTCCATTTGCTTATATTCAACTAAGGGTGGGAGGGTGGGCCGGGGTTTCCCGTGTGCGGGAGGCAGGAGTGCCCGCCAGGGTCTTCCCTCTAAAGGTGTAACCTGAGCCTGAGGTTTAAAAACAGCCGCGAATTGGGGAGCAGCCTCTCTCCTACCGCCGCCACGCCTTATGCAAAAGTTTTACTACTGGCTGCTTAAACGAGTTGCCATTTCTTAATCTTCACTTCCCATCTGATGTTTGTTTGCCTAGAATGAACTTTTTGGAACCTTGGCCTTTTCTGGCTTCCATCTTTACCCTTCCCCAAGGGATCCCAGGGCTTTAAACTTAAAAGTGCCTCCTCTCTCCTCCTCCCCCTGGTAACGTGGCACCGGCTCAGCACCCCAGAGGCTGCCAAGGGAACTTAGTTCTGCGCAGGGAACAGGCGATTTTTGGCTGCCACGCAGTGCACCACAGAGGGTCGGGCGGATTTTGAAAGGGAGGGTGCGCCTTGCTCGCGGCAGTTTACTTTTTCCGCTTACCTTTTGCGCGTTTTAACGCCTGGAGGCTATAGTTTGAAAGTAAAACAGCATCAAAGCACCTCCTTATTAGCTCTGTATTTGAGAAATCCGAAGATGAAACTACCTAAAAGGTTTAATAGGGCGGAACAGCATTTATTTGCCAAGCAA